AAAAAAAAAAAAAAAAAAAAAAAAAAAAAACAGAATCTGTTAGAATCGAAACACAGTTAGAGAAGATCACGGGATTTTCCAGAACCCCCGGAGTAACAAGGAGAGCCCTAAAAAAACCTCAATTTTTTTTAAAAAAAAGAGAAAAACAGAGGAATAGAGAGAAAACAAACCGAGGGGATCTTTTCATTGAACTTGTGATCAGTGGGGGACGGAGAAACGTGAACATGAACAAAGAAGAAAGAAGTGACAACTACTGAGAAAATTGTTGCGGCGAGGAACCTCCTGAGCATGCCGAGTGAAACCGTCCTACGCCTCTGCATTAATCCTCTTCTCTCTACACGTTGTTATTGAATTGAATATGAAAAAGAGCACAGAACAGGGTATAAGGTTGGTGCGACAGTTATTATCATAAGAATAAGAGGAAGAGTGGTAATGTGTGTGAGAACTGAGAACCTCGGACTGTGAGAGTCTTCATGGTTTGCACACTGAGGAATAAAAATGCTGTTTGGTGTTCGGTTTTGGCTTTTTCTCAACGTCGTGCTTCCTTGCCACCTTGCACTGCTCGCTTTTCCCTATTTTTCATTCTTTCCATCTATTTATTCATTCTTCTTCACTCTTCAGTAACTAATTCTACGTCTAATTTAATTTTTAAGTGTGCGTGCTTCATACTTTCACATCGCCACCCACCCTATTATATGTTTGTGTCTGTTGCTCTTTTCTATTTTTTTTTTTTAAAGATAAATTTACTTTTGTATTTTAATACTGTTAATAACACACTCTTAAATATACTCTTTTTTTTTAACTCACACTCTGTTATTTTAAATAAAAATTATTAATTTATTAGTGAAGTTTATTAAACAAGAAACTTACATGAGCCTCCTTTTTCATTGTTTTTTATACCGAGAAAAAGAGTTTATTGAATAAGAAAAATGACTCATTCTTAAAAAAAACGCAGCTTGTTAAATTTGTTTTTTCAATAAAAAAATGTTTCTAATAAATCGTGTTATGATTATATTTTCTTTATATAATTAATAAATGAATTTTATAGCGAACCCTATAATAGATAGGGGTGAGGATATGAGTCAAAGTTCGTGGACCGGTCCATTAAATTTACAATCCACACTAATACAAACTTGTTATTTTAAAAATTCATTTAATTATATCATATTTTTAGGTTCAGCTCGTGGAATTCACAAACTTTACATGCTTAATTTGCAAAGTTTATGGACTAACCTGTTTAATAATAATGTTTTATTTATTTTTTTAAGACAAATAGACTTTGATATTTAATTAGTATATTTAGACTTTTAAATTTTGAAGAAATTAAAATTTTAATGTGTTGGATAGTGTATTTGAATTTTTAAGTTTTTAAGAAAAAAATGGATGTTTTTGTTAGAATGTGTAAACATTAATATGTTGAGACTTTATCTTTTACTTAAAATGTTTGATATTATTAAAAATATATTTCTTTTCTTTTTCATGTTTCCATAGCTTAAGAAAGGAAAGGAAAAAAAATCTTTTAATTTGAAAAAATATTTTTATTATTTTAAATTTTCATATTTTATTGGATCCACACATTAGACTGTTTATTCACAGACTTAATAAGTTAAATACAGGCTTTAATTTTTTTATTGTTTATTTCACATATCAAATTTATCAACTTGTTAAAAATATGGAGTTTTTGGATCAGATTGGTGCGTATACCTACCCCTAATAATAGTTAGTGCATCAACGCAATACCATCTAAGATTGAATAAAATATTTAGGTTTAAACTCACTTTTAGTCTTCATAATTTTAGAATGTACAATTTTAGGTTCTCAAAAGTCTTTTATTATAATTTTGGTCCTCGTAATTTTTTGGGTGGTAGTGATGATAGTAATAGCAACATAATAGTAATGACAATGATGATAGATTAATAGTAAAATTGTTGCTAATACCATTACTATTATTTTATTGTTGTTGTTGTTGTCCTAACCACCACAATTGTACCCCAATGCTGATGGTGATAATGGTATTGGGTGACGACGACAAGTGATGATAATTATCTAGACAATATTAGTAATGATTTTATTAGAGTTAATGACTAAGTTTTAATCTGAACAATTAATTATTTTTATTTATAATCTAATAATTATTTTTTCGTGTACATATTTTGTTAATTGTTTTGTTTCTTAGCTTAAAAAACACTATTTTTCTCCCATGCTTTTTTTTATTTAGTTTGATTCTTTTTTTCCTTTACTTTTATAAATTTATTTTTCAAACGGAGTTGGGTAGTATGCACAAGGTCCTAAGTTCAAATTTTGATGTTGTCATTGTAATTTTAATGAATAAAAAAATATTTTTTAAACTTCTTATAACCTTTAAATAACTACTCAACAAGACCACTCATACTCTCTAATTATTAACCACTTTACTAAAATAAAAAAAAATTTAAAAAAAATTACCAAAAAAACATCTGTACCACTTTATTTACCAAAATAGAACCTTTTACTGGGAACCGAATTCTGAGCTATTAAATTTTATTTTTTTTTGCATTTTTGGACCTGAGAATGGTGTAAAACTGGAACCAGAACAGCCCGTTCTGAATGGAGAATGGGTCGTTCTCCTTGCAGAACGAGTCGTTCTGCAAGAAGAACGGCCCGTTCTGAATGGAGAATGGGTCGTTCTCCTTGCAGAACGAGTCGTTCTGCAAGAAGAACGGCCCGTTCTCCATTCAGAACGGGCCGTTCTGGATGCAAAAAAACACACATGATGAATGCATCAAAACGGACCGTTCTGCTTGGAAGTTCCAGTTTCAAAAATAACAGATTATTCGTGCAAGCAGAACGGCCTGTTTTGCTTGGAGAACGGGACGTTCCGGTTGCAACATTTACCCACAACCCGAACTACAAACAGAAAAGAAAAAAAAATATTAAACACTTCTCAGAATTGGGTTCCCCGGGAATCGAATTCTGAACATGAACAGTAAAAGGTTCTATTTGGGTAAATAAAGTAGTACAGATGCTTTTTTGGTAAATTTTTTTTAAAAAAATATTATTTTAGTAAAAAATTCACCACTCACACACATTTAACTTCAATTATTTTTATCATGTATTTTATTTTATTATAGAAAATGTTGCATACAATAACATACAAAAGGTATCACTATAAATATGTAAACATAAATTTATTTGACATATATTTACATATAATTTTACTGTTGATTTTAAATAAAATTTAATAATATACATTATATGTTATTATAAGTTATACATACACTTCTTAATAATATATTAATATATATTGTATCTATAGAGTGAGCAAAAGTAATTTTTTAATGATAAGTAATGTGTCACTATATAGTATATATCATTATATAATTTTTTTTTATTTTTTATTTTTAAACATATACAGCTAAGAAGTACTTTTTTTTACGCTACTATATATAAATTTGGAGTTATTTTATATGAGTACTTTTAGTCATTTTTTATTCATCGATAATATTTGTAAAAGTCTTTTTTAATGATATTTTTACGGATCTTCTATAATCTCTTATTTGTTTTCATTTTATTTTAAGTTCATTCATTTTTTATACTTAAAAAAATTATTAATAGTTAAAAACAATATAATATATCATAATATAAATTTTATTATAAATTTTAATTCTAATATAATTTATACATTTAAACTATTTATTTACTATAAATTTTAATTATATAAAATAAATATTTATCTCATATATTACATAAATTAAAATGCTAGTTATAATTATTTATCTATTTCATACTAATAGGCGGAAGGTTAAGATATAGTGAAATGTATTGAATGTGATGAACAACCATTATTTGTTTATATCTAAAAACGAGGTTTAAACTTGAAATATTTCATCGCATTAATCCGTAGGTCCAATATGCTTTTTATTTGGCGATTCATTAAATATCGTAAGCACTTTTTGTCATAGCATTATGAGCCTTTGGTACCTCTATTTGGTACCTCTATTATGAGCAAAAATAATGTGCCACTTACGGAAGGAAATAAATAAGTAAATAAAACATTGAGAGTGTTTCATTATATATATATTACGAATAAATTAACTGAAAGTTTATAATTTTTTTTCGAGAAGTATTGAAAGTTTATAAATTAAAATTTGAAAATTAAAAACTTATAGGCTAATGGATTATTACAAAATTTAAAATTAAAAATTAAAAATATTTGATATAAATAATTGATAAGGTAATCGATAAATAAAAATGATATAAAAAACTCATTTAATTATTTAAAATAAATCATAATTTCATATAAATTAACTGGAATAAAAAACTAGTAGTTTAATTATAAACTAGTTTATTTTCATTAAGTTATAAATTTATTTTATTCTAACTAACTTATAAAATATAAACTTTTGCAATACCTTGTCAAACAGACTTTGAGACACTCTAAAATTAATTTAAGGAATTTTGTTCTCCATTCTTTTTGCACTACAACAAAATTTATTTTTACCGACAATTATTTACCGGCAATAAATTAATTGCCTTTGTTTTATTATTTAATAAAAGTATTAGTGACTAATATATAATAGTCACTAAAAATATAATTATATCACACTAAAATTTACTATTAGCGACAATTATTTATTAAGAAAAACTTTAGTCCCACATCGACTAGAAATAAAATAATTAAAGAGTATATAAATGAATAATAACTCTCACCTTACAAGTTTGTTATGTAGGATTGAGTTAGACCTTATTATTCTAAATTAGTATGAGATTACTCACTATTATCAAACTCAATAATTCTTAAACTTAAGAGGGTCGACTATTGATAAGAAAATAATTATATATATATATATATAACCTTCATCTTAAAGTCCCACATCAACTAGAAATAAGATAATTAAAAAGAATATATAAGTAGAAAGACAACTCTCATCTTACAAGTCTCACATCAACTAGAGATAAAGTAATTATTTATTTGTACTCATCTTACAAGTCCCACATCAACTAGAAAGTATCTTACAAGTCCCACATCAACTAGAAAGTAAAAAATGTCACAAAAAGATATACACTTTTTTCGACCATTATAAGAGTTTTTACCAGCATTTTGAATAATTGCCGCTAAATGCTTTAGCGACACTGCATACAATGGCTAATGTGAAAATGCCGGTAAAAGATCTTGTAACAATTTTTATTGCCACTAAAAATTATATTAAATGTCACTAAAAGTATATTTTGTTGTAGTGTTGCTATTTAATTAATATAATGTGTGTGGTCTTATTTTATTTTTATTGTATCTTACCAACTTTTCCTCATAATTACATGTATTGCATTATTAGCACTTTCAATAGGTAGCTAGAATGACTCGTAATAAATTTTAAATATTATATATTTAAAAGATACATGCTTAAATAAATATAAGTCAAACTTCTCAATTAATAAGAGTTTGGGCTTGAACCCTCGATAAATAATTTAAAGGCATTATTAAATATAGGTGTATAAAAGAAAATGATAATAGATGTTTTAGGGTGGGAAATCTCACGTACCCTTCTAGAGATTGTGATGGCAGAGGATAATATATGTTCTTTAATATCTAAAAATCAGAATCATAGATTTCTATTTTTTTTAAGTAACTAATGTGAAAATATTTTAAAATTGAATCAGGTAAACGAA